TATTGTGGTCATGTAAAAAAACCTACTATAATTCTAGAAGTCATAGCTTCTTATGACTTATGGATTTGACATGCCTTTTTTGGGAATGCCAGGATCTCACAACGATCTCAATGTCTTAGATCGTTCTCATTTATTTTTTTTGAACTTGTCCAGGGCGAGCCCCTCCCCCCAATTACTCTATTAATAGGCATACCTACAATATGGGGTATTATCTTGCTGATGGTATATATCCTTCATGGGCGACATTGGTTCAACAATTTCTTCTCCACAAGGAGCCAAGAAACAACATTTTGCTATGATGCAGGAGTCAACGAGAAAAGATGTGGAGCGGACATTTGGGGTTCTACAATCTTGATTTGCAATTGTACGTGGAGCAACGCGGTTTTGGGATCCCGAAACACTTGGGGATATCATGAAGACATATATTATTTTGCATAAGATGCTTGTTGAAGATGAGCGAGATAACTATGACGATTTCGAATATGAAACATCACCACATGACACGTCAATTGAAGTTTCCCGAGAGTTTAACAATGACTTTGAGTCCTTCATTGCTCGTCATGCAAGAATTAGAGATAAAAATGCTTATCATGCCCTCCAGAATGACTTAATTGAGCATCTATGGCAACGTCATGGAGAGATGTGACTTTTGGCATGAGATAAATGTCGTACCCGGTTATTGTTAATTCAAATTTCCTTGAATAAAATATTTTGATATTGTATTTCTAATATTTTATGTCTTCTGTATGGTTTTATTTCTCTCTAATCAATCATTATGGATGGGCCAAATAGTATGTTGATAAGCCCAACATCACCTAGTCATGAACTGGGTTAATCAATATGTTTATTAAAACTAAAATCATGCATGACCTGTGCATACATGAAATCTAAAAAACAAACATATTCAAGTAGTCTCACCATTTCAAGCAAAAACCCACAACACTAACTTAAAAGCATAACACCAATATCAAGTATGTAGCAAAAACATGTGGCACACTAAGTGAAATGAATGAAATAACATTCTCTCAAGATCAAAAACAATAGTGAACTCCAAGCAATAAATTAAAACCCATTGTCTATATTCTGAGCAACTATCTGTCTTTGAAGATCTTCATAGTAGGACTTCTGCATAGGAGTTAAATTGGACATGTCCATTGACATGATTTTGTTATCCTCACTTCTCTGTTCTCTTCCATTCATCATTGCTAACTTTTGTAGTTGGGCCTCTCTATTCTTAGCCTTCATCTCACGATCTATAGCCTTTTGCTCATCTCGTTCAATAGATTGGGAAAACATACTAGCTAACATTTCAAAAATTTTAGTTTGGTTGGCTACTATGTCATCAAACCTAGCATCATGAGCCACCTTCTTCCTTTGTGATTCTTTCATAGCCTTTCTACCACTTGTCGTTTCAGTCTCTCTTTTGATATTTTTATTTCTATATCAGAGTCAACAGATGCTGGAGTAGTAAGATTTGAAAGTGATGATGTATGGACTGTAGGTTTCTTGAACTGTGTTCTAAGTTCATCCCACTTTCAATTATGCCGCAATATTTCCCAACAAGAATCGAATGTGAAGTGCTTTTTTTGAAAAACATGGCACATGCATTTAGCCTCATTAATCTGAAAATAAAAATAATAAATATCAAATTCTTAAATGATAAATTGTAATTAATTGTTAGTATACAAACACATACCTTGTCTACTTCCCCTACCCCATTTTGTTGTCTCATTTGTACTTGTTCTAGAAAACTTATTAACCGCCTTTTGAATCAAAGACCAGCGGTGACACAAAGAAATGTTGGTTCTATTTGGTTGGGAATAGAAATACGCATGAACACAATTCCAGAATACCGTCTTGTTTTGGGAATTTCCTGTAATTGGATTTTGGGAAACGGCCAACCAAGCTTGACACACTGCTTCATCTTCCAATATACTAAAAGCTTTACCACGAGCACGATCATTTTGTGAAACAATTTCTATTCCATGAAATTCCTCTAAGCTTGGAGAATTCTCGAATATTTCATGATCATCTATTATTCCTGAACTTTGAAGAAAAAAAGAATAAAAACAAGGATATAGGAAATTATAAAAATCAATAGCACATGCAAAGTACAAAAATCAAGAGCACATGCAAAGCACAAAATCAAGAGCACATGCAAAGCACAAAATTTCTTGCGATAAATATGACATAATTGTTCAAAGATTCATCCAAAAAATCAAAGTGGAGAAGCAATATCCATTATTCATAAGCATAATCATGGTAATTCTAAAAAAAAGTAAAATTAATATAACTTCACTAAAAACCAATGAACATTAAATCATAACTTGAAACCAAACCTAAAAGAAATACAAGTGATTGATTAAATACCAATCACGAGAAAGCTTTGAAATAACCGACGATTGATTAAATACCAATGATTAAAAAGTTATTAAATAACAGTGATTAAATATCCGTGATTACTACGAGTCACCCGGTGATTAAATACTGAATACCAGTGATTAAATATCAGTGTAGCAATAACTTACCAACAGTTTTTTTGTCTTCAAAGGACTGACGATTGATTCGGTTGCCGTTGGCGATGAAAAAAGCTTTGAAGAGAGGCTGGGAGAGGTAGTCTACAATATTAATTCTTTTAGGTTTGGATAGGGTACCGTTGAAAATTTGGTATAACATTTAGGTCACCTTCAATTTGAGTTAAAAAAAAGTTTTTTTTTTAATTCGATATAAGTTTAGGTTCAAGGTTGGAGAAGCTTTTTAGACCATTTAGACTCAAATTTAAATTTGAGTCTAAAGTTGAGTCATGGTTGGAGATGCTCTTTATTGCCGGATTTGATTGAGTTGGGGAATTAAATTTAGGGATGTTAGTTTTAGAAACTAAAAGTTTTGAGCGGGAAATTTTTTTCAAGAGCTAATGTAGTACGTCAGATCGAAACGATCTAAGACGTCAATAGCTTGAAAAAGTTTGAAATATTGTTGGTCGTTGGATGATACCTTTTTTTTTTTATTTCGAAACAATTTGAACCGCTCAGATCATGGCTCAGATCGCTTGACGATTATTGATCTGATGATTCTCATGCCAACTTTTTCTAAGACTCCTATCGCTCATCTAACTCTCTTTATATCCATCTTATACTCTCTCTCTCTCTCTCATATTATTATCTTATTTTTTTATTTTCGAAGTGCTATTTTTTTTTATTTACTCCATAAAACATAATTTGAAATTTTAGGATTTTCCTTTGACATTTTTGTCCTCTCTTAATTCATGCGATTTATTTTTGAAAACTGATATTTTTTTTTTTCAGATTATATGTATGCATTAAAAATCTCCTAATTTAATGAAAGATTTGATTTTTCTGTTTATTTTAAGGATCAATCAGTTGGTTTAAATTTTAAATTTTGCAACAGTATCATTTTTAATGCAATACTAGGCATGTGCATGCTAATTGGTGATAGTATACTTACTCCTGCAATCTCAGGTGTTTTGCATGGAACTGGTTCTACATTTTGCTGCAACCGGTGTTTGGACTTTTTTCGTAGTGAATATTTTTTCTGTTCATAAGAGTTCATTTTCCTTCAGTCAGCAAGTGTAAATATTGGTTCAGAATCCTATAATTCAAGGTATGGTCCAAAAATCCTGCTGGTCCTTCGTATGCCATAATCTCTAATTGACTTGGCATCTTTTCAAGACACCACATCCTTAAAATTGCAAGAACTAGTGATCGACATTGATGGTAATATAATTGTTTTTGCTTTTTAAATAGTGTGAACAAGAAGTTGAAATTTGAAGTTTTAATTGTCGCAAAGAGGCATACCCCTACCTCAATTCCCTTATGCTGAAACTCAGGTTCTTGAGGAATCAGGAGGCCTTGATTTGAAGTATTGATCAGTACCGATACAAGTCAACTGAGTTGTATCCAACTCTTCACGTTCTGAGCTGATATTCAATATCGTTGCAAGTCATGTATAAACTTCGAGTCTCGCACGACTCGACTGAGTTGTCTCCAAATCAACCCCGAGTCCCCGAGTTATAGTTACTGAATCGACCGATACCATAAATCTCTCTCTATGTTCAACTTCTTCTTTTAAGTTGTATCGCCCGATATTACGATCGATTTGCCTCAAAGTGCTCTGAATTGATAGTTGATACCACAACTTTAAACCATTTTGAACACCCAAAGAGTTGTAAACAGAAACAATGCAGATATCTATTCTATCAATTAACATACTAAGCTTGCTTAAAACTGCCACGAGAAACATACTTTTCCTTATTTTTTTACGGGATATGCAAATGCCTTTGGAATAGCTTATAATTATATAAGCAGGGGCAATAGATAGTGCCAAGGTTAAGAGTAAGGATCAAAATATTGTTTCGAAACGGTCGAAACGTCCGAAATATTTCTGTTTTTAAGGAGACCGAAACGAATCAATGATGGAATCGAAATTCTAATATTTTGAGGTATTTCATAATGTTTCAAAATGTATTATAATATTTCAATGCATTTGCACAATTGTTTTAGAATGTTTCAAGGTATTTCAAGATATTTTGATATATTTAAATTAATGTTTTAGAAAAATAATTCTTAAAATTTTTATTTTTTTCATTATGTTTTTTAAACGGATCGAAACGTTTCTGAAACACATCGAAATATTTTTGTTTCCTAGGTGACCGAAACAATAAATTGAAACGAAATTTTGATCTTTGGTTAAGAGTAAACTAGATTGAAAAAAAATTTAGTAGCAACTGAACTTCAACGTCCTATGTAAGACTAGATGTTGTCAATTGACTAAATTGATTGATCTTTCATTTTGGTTGTCTATGGATTACGTGGTATAATGGTATTGCATTCTTTCAAACTTGTCTCATTGTGCTGACAAATGCTCTGGTTTTCAACTTGCAGCTTTAGTTGAAGGCCTCTCTGCCATTATTCTGTTCTTGATACAAAAGTTTCGAACCTCGCGAGTCAGGTTCCTTTTCTCCCACATCATGACTGTGTGGACTCTCACCACTATGATTGTTGGAATTTATAGTATTATACATCATTACCCAAGTATATTTAAGGCAATAATACCGCACTACATCTTCCGCTTCTTCTGGAAAAATGGAATTGAAGGTTGGCTGTTGCTTGGAGGTACTGTGCTTTGCATCACAGGTGAGCTTCATTTGTGGCCTATCAAGTTAGAGATGAAAATTGACGTGAACACTCTTGTACAACTTGACTGAATATATACAACGTTGATCCTAATTCAGCTTTAGAGTTGAAGGTGCAGCCAGATATTAGCTTATTATAAGTTGTAGCGAGCTTGTATCTTACATCGAATGATTATGATTACCTAGGGCCGGGTTATATGTTTAAGCAGCCTCCCCACTCATTGCCAATTGATTTTAGGTTTGATGCTCTAACATGGTATTAGATCTGGGTCTTGGGTGGTTAGCGAGCCAATTCTTTTACCTATTTGAATTTCTCCATATGCATGTTTGTCTGTTTGTTTTTTGGCCCCACGTGCAAGCCGGGGTCTCACATAAGAGAGGAAGTAAAGAGAGCTTGTACCCCACATCGATATGATTAGGATTACCCAAGGTTGGTTTATATGTGAAGGGACCTCTCCACTCATTGATAATTGGTTTTGGGTTGGATGATCTAACAAATGACCTCCGAGAGAAACTTATAAAAGCCACAATGGTTATTCTTCTCGCATAATCTATTGACGTTTATCTGGTTTTCTTTGGTCATTTCAATATAACGTTACTTTTCACTATGTATCCAAAGTAAATTTAGGCACAGTGCTGAGGTGATTATGAGATGGTGCCCCCATCCTCTATGGGGCGACATTGCCTATCATACCACGTCTCATCTCTCACTCAATATTCTTGGAAACACACTTTCTGAATAGAGAAGAAAATTGGAAAAAAAAATTAATATACTGTTTCACATTTTTTGTCATCTCTTCTATTCAGGTTCCGAAGGATTGTTTGCTGATCTAGATCATTTCAACAAGAGTTCCATTCAGGAGGTGTACTTAACCGTCTATCCATTGGATTTCCATATGTCCGTTGTTTTTGCAGTGGTTTCTAACACCTTTTCCCAATAGATAACATTTTTGTTCACTATGTATCCATCACTGGTTCTGACATATGCGGGGCAGACGGCTTACCCGATCAGAAACCCAAATGATCATGATGATGGGTTTCACAATTTCATACCGAAGACAGTTTATTGGCCTATCTTTATCACAGCCATATTGGCAGCGATAGTTGCAAGTCAGTCACTGATTTCAGCCACTTTTTCTGTTATCAAGCAATGTGTTTGACTGGATTATTTCCCTCTTGCTTTTATTATGTTTGGCTGGTTCTACTGGAGGCAGAGAAAGATGGAGTGTGAGTTCACCCGTAAGTTAGATTTACACAGACTAGAAGTGCTGTTATCTGAGACATATGTTCAGAGAGTTCCTGGGCTTGGCATCTTCTATGACAATGTACAAGATGGGCTTACCCCAGTTATTGGTCATTATATAAAAACCATGAGATCTCTTCACAAGGTTACTATTTTTATGACACTTCAATACTTGTTGGTTCCTAAGGTTGTCCCACATGAGAAGATTGTTGTCCAGAAACTGGGCCTCAAAGGTGTATATGTGTGTGTGGTTCAGTAAGGCTATGCAGATTCTCTTAATCTTGAAGAGGATGACTTTGTTAGTGAAGTTACTGATAGCTTGCGAGCTCTTATACAGGATCGCTCTGATCATGCACACCCAGTTCATTTAGAGGATGATGAAATTTCGAATTTGGATGAGGCAAAGCATCTTGGTGTGGCTCATGTTCGAGGGAAAACAAGGTTTTATATAGGCAAGAATTGTAGCTGGTTTGACAGAGTCATGCTTGCATTTACAACATTCATATACAAGTTTGGGAGGTATCATTTTGCCTATGTACTCTCAACCCACATACATATGAATGTATATGTGTATTACTGGATCCAGTTAGTTCAAGTATCTGTTGATATACAACCTAGTCACGAATTAGAACTAAATTTAGTGTGGGTTGTTGAGTATTTTACAGCTAACAAACATTAATTGGTCATTCTTTCACCTTCAAATTATGAATCATTAGGTAGAATTTCTAAGGCTGTTTTGTATCAATATGCTCAAGATCCATTGTTTGGGTGCGGATCAGCACAGTCCAGGATGAATCTCTATAGCCTAGATTTTGCTATAAGGAATCAGCAAAACATTGTCTTCATAAAATTTTGTGTATATTGTAGCTAAGTTTCACAACCATTGAGGTTTGTGTTTAGAGTTTGACTAAATAATATAGAAGTTGTAGGTTTGAATCTGAGGACAGCTGCTTTGTGCAAATAGTTGTATAGTTTGGATCTCTACCCCACCTATACCCTTTAATAAAGTCTACATCTGTTTATTTCACAATCTTCTGAGTGAAAAAAGGTGGCTCAGCTCTAGTCACTGCAGGGTCAGATGCTGCCGCTCGAACTCGTAATGCCCAGATCATTATTATAAGATTGACCTCGTTAGAGTTTACTGGAGAAAGAAAAAGCTGTTGGCATAGGACTGTAACGAGTGTTCATAAATTTAAGAATTGTTGAGTTCTCACTGCAATTAAAATCTCAATATGTGAAACTGTTATTTTGAATATTTAATTAGAATGAGAGAATCTTGCTGTTGCTTATGCTTTTTGAGGCACCAAGAGGTGGACATGGCCCCAGTTTAGGTTCTAGATCTGAAGCATTCCATGTTGGGACAGACTCTGGATTTGTTATCAAGATGAACAAATTCTTTAGATTGGCCTAGGGGTACTTATGAACAACTCATAAAGCTATCTGATCCTCCTTGAATATGTAATGCCTACTCTTTTCCATTTATATCTATACTAAGTAGCTAACTGACTGATCAATATATTTTTATTAAATATTTAATAACATTGATATCATTCCATAACTCAAAAAGAAATATCTACCAAGGAATATAAAATTACTTAGAACCATTGCTACTTGAAGTGGTAATATCAACACCGCATATAAAAAGCTAAATGAACGGGTTCAAAGTACGTTCGACCCTAATGTATCAACTGTACAGGGCGTGTGATAAATAACATATAAAAAAGGATAGTTTGGAGGGACTGATGTCTCTAGCCGAGCTAAAGTAAGCCTAGCTGAGCAGATGAAAAAAATAGTTTTAAACAAGATTATTTGACCAACGTGAGACTTGACTAAAAGTGAAACCAACACCTCGTAATTAGTGGGACCAAGTTTAAATATGTTCTCCTCTGCGAGGAGATGAACACCATATATTTATTTGTCTAAAACCATCAAATATTATTTTTTTTTCTTTGGAGGGGGAGGAAGAGGCTTGAACCATTGACCTCAAGAAGACAAAACCTTCATAAGGCAAGAAGTATCATTGGACCAAAGGCCCATTGATCTAAAATCATTAAATATTGAATGAATAATTATGTCTCAAAGTTTCAATATTCTATTTGTATATCTACTAAGTTTCCTAATAACAAATGCAAAATCATGACATACGTTAAACTATCAACAACTCTAGCATATTACAATTGTGATACTGCTCTACCATTATTTTGAAACAACTTTATCTGTGATTCGAAAAGTGTGCATACAAGTGTTCAATCGAAATGATCAAACTTCTTAACTATCTTCTCAATATAATGTGACTGAGAAAGTATCAGATTGTTATCTTATTTTATTATTCTAATTCCTAAGATACCACTTGCAACACCCATATCTTTCGTATCGAAGTTAGAAAACAAGAAACATTTAGTATTATTAATCCTATCCAAATCAATACCAAGTATTAGCATGTTATTTACATATAAGTATATTATCACACATTTTCCATTAACAAATCTACTAAACACATACTTATCAGATTCATGAATTTTAGAACTATTTGATACAACCATTTCATCAAACTTTTCATGATACTATTTAGGTGCTTGTTTAAGAGCATATAGTGATTTAACTAATTTACAAACTTTTTGTTCTTGATCTTTCATCACGAAGCCCTCAAGTTGTTCCATGTATATTTCTTCATTCACCTCACCATTCAAAAATATGATTTTTACATCCATTTGATGTAAGTCAAATTTATAAATTAAGGAGGATTCCGTAATAGCCTTTTCAAGTCGGTCTGCATACAAAAACAATATAATTATGACTTAGGAAAGAAATTTAAGAAGTTTTGGCCATAAGACAAGTGAGAAAAATAATATTTCACACTGATACCTGGACAGCATCTTCTAGATGATTCATCTCTTTTTCCTCCAACAACCCAACCTTCTCAAGATTATGGAGATAATCAATTAAATGATTCAGCACAGAATAGGTCACTTGCCTTGTTTTCACAACCTGCAAAGCCTAAAGAGGTTCCCAATATGAAGTTTTTTCAGTACCACAATATGAAATATGCAAAAGATATGCACAAATGCACATCTAGAAGAAAACATGGGAAAGGGGCCACATTAGTACCGCCATGTCTGAGACTTCAAATGGAGCCTCACCAAGAGATCCCAAGTACAATCTCAGATAAGCGAGCAATACATATAGTAAATGAGGGTCTTTACAACCCACTAACCTGTGGAAATGTAACACGAAGTTCTTCCAGGAACTTCCTTATTTCCTCTCCTTCTGCCTTACTTTCATTAATTACAATAGATGCAATCTCACTGCCACCTACAATGATAAATGTATGCACAATAAATGAGAAGGATTCGGATAAATAATAGGGTTTAGGGTTTAGGGTATGAATTACCCCCTTGTAGTTTGATTCAGTCCAAAATTACCTACATATATTTTGGAAATGTATATGCAATCCCATTTGGTTTTGGACTAAATTGGAACCATTAGAAAATGAGTTATTTACCTTGCATCCAAATAACCTTAATTCTTTATTTGGCCAAAGTTAATCATTATTCCCTAACTAAACAAAATTATACCTATAACCAAATGACCTCATCTTCATCCTCTTTGACCTCTTCTCTCTCACACTCGTCCACACACTCATGCACAATGCACACACAACACACCCACACACCATTCTCTCTCTCTCTCTCTCTCTCTCCATATGTTGATCCAACCAAAAACCTAACTTATCCAACCAATGCAATTCAATTTGAATCAAAACCTCATCAAAGTTGACATCTCTCTCTCAACCAACAGCTTGAGGTTTCTCAAGGGGGTATATTTATCACAGGGCTACTGCTTCAACTTATACACATCTTCATGGTGATGCACTTGCCATTGAGTTGTGTTATGCAGCGAACTCGATTAGTGTTGGAGTTGTAGTCTAGTTTATTAGGGTTTTTTTTTCCTTTTTACCCTTACTATGACTTTTGTGTCTTGCTTAGACCAGAGAGATGTTCAGGTCATTTTATATTATTGTTTGACTATATATACGGGGTCTACACTGAGTTTGTATCCCTTTTAACTAACAAATATATCAAGTTGGTATTAGAGTGAAAACCCTAGCCTCTTGCCCACCCCTAGCCGCCAACCCTAACCCTAACCCTAGCCCCTCCTCCAAACTCCACCAGCCACCAGACTACCACCACACCTTGACTGCCCCAGATCAGCGACAGCCAACTTGAGCAACCCACTGCCCATCCTCACCCAACCAGCCCATCGATAACCACTGCCCAGCCCACCAACAGCCGGAAACAAACCAAAATCACCAGCAGCTTCTCACCCAAAATTCCACCGACACCCACAAACACACCGAAAAAACCCTAATAAACTAGACTACAACTCCAACAATTAGTTCACCACCTCTTCCGCTAGGTGGAGGCATTTAACTTTATGCATCCTTTACTTTTAATGCATTTTTGTTTGATGAGTGCAATCAAATATTAACACTCTAAAGGATTGGTATGCATTCAGTATGTTAACCAGCAAAATTTGTTTCATTCTGGTCAAGGAGCAAGGTGTTGCCTATGGTGCAGGTTATGTAAAGTTAGTGTATATAGTACAATATAAACTCTCAAAGCACTCAGTGCAGCTTCACATAGGTAAAATGCACTACATTAGTTGTCAGCAAAATTTGGAGTGGCCTACATATTCCAAGAAAAAACAAAAAGTAGTCTTGCATTAATTCAAACAAAAATCTACTGTCGGGCGATACGACTTAAAAAAAAATGTTGAACGTGACAAGAAATTCAAGTCATATCACGGCATCATCAAACTGTATCGGTTACTTTGGTGACGATATTTCAGCGAATAGGAATTGACTTGAATACAACTCGAACACCTTAGCCAAATTATGCGAGACTCAGAGTTGATAAGTATCTTGTAACGGTATCGTCTCCGAAGGTGCCGAAATGGATACGACTCGACTAACTCATATCGGTATCGGTCGATACTTTGAATCATGGTCATGGTTCAAGGTCGCGGTATCGGCCATCAGCTCGAAGAGTTCTGAGATATATTAGTCGCTGCATTACGGCGCAGTATCAGGTGATACGACTTAAAAGAAAATATTGAACATGATGAGAAATTCAGGTCATATTACGGCATCATAGAATTGTATCAGACAATTTGGTGGCAATATTTCGACGACTCGGAAATGACTCAGATACAACTCGGACGAGTTGTGCGAGATTCGAGATTTATACGTATGGTGTAATGGTATTGTCTCCAGAGGTGACGAGATGGATACGACTCAGCCAACTCGTATCAATATCGATCGATACTTTGAACCATGGACGATATAGACATGATTACGTTTTCTAAATGGAAAGATGCTAACCTTTATAAATCTTTATAAAGCTACACTTGAGTTTGATTATAGTAACTTTATTCTTAATGCATAATAAATCTTTCTCTCAAAATGGCCACGGTGAAAGATGCATAATTTTTAACCAACAAATAGCTATTGTCTTTAAATTAAAATAGGAAAAGAATATACTAATTCGAACATGTAAATTTAAAAAATTACTTCCCACATTCAATTAAAAAATTAATGTGATAAAAACAAAAAATAGAGCATGTATTAGAGGAGGAGGAGGGCATATTAAATTTGGTAGCTGTTTTTGAAGAAGAAAAGAAGAAGCATACCTGAAGTGAAGGAGACGTCTTTGTGTGATGTTCACATATGCTTGAACAATCGCTTGAGAGGCAGAGACACGAATAGGAGATACTCTCTCCGCAAGTTTATATTTGGGTAGGCCTCTTTTAGCAAATCGACGTCGTTTTACTAGAAATAGGGTTTGTTAAGAGTATTAGGGTATTAAATATAAATATTATAGGGTGTATACGTCTTTTGTATTATTACTGGTTAACTATAAATACAAGTGATTTGTGAGAGGTAGTCACTGGTTGTGTAGTTGCTGTTCATCGCAGTCTCGTCGACGTTGGTGATTTCAGGTTCTATTTCGTGGTGGTGGCTGATGTTTGTGGTTGTTGGTCATCAACATTGGTGACTTCGTTGGTGTAGTTGCTGGTTGTTTTTGGCGCCGTCAACTAGTGTGGTTGACGTTGGAGGCTTTTGGTTCTGTTATATGGCTGCTGGTTAGTGTTTTGCTTATCGCCGTCGACGTTAAAGGAGCATTAGGGTTTGGTTGGTGAAGAAGGCGACCCACTCGAACTGTGTCAGTTACGAGTTTGGGTAATAGATCTAAATCCTGATCCAAGCCCAACCCAAATCCATATCCAAGTCTAGATCCATACCTGGATCCAAACCCAGATCTAGGAGACTCACCCAGATCCATTAGCCTTCAAACCAGACTGGTTCAAGTCTGGTTCAACCCCGGTTTAGTCCCAGGGTCAGTGAGTTTGCACCAGTTCAATCAGTTTTAGACCGGTTCCATCTGTTTTTTATTCGGTTCAGTGTTCCAGTGACCCTCCCTTGTTTGTTTAGCGGTCCAGTGGCCTTTTCTGGTCCGGTTCAGCGGTCCAATAGACTTTTTTTATTTGGTTTAGCAGTCCAACGAGCTCTCCTTGTTTGGTTCATCGGTCTGGTGGATTTCCTTGCTTGGTTCAATTGTCTAGTAAGTCCCCTTTACTATTTGCCACACTATTATGGAACCAAGCAAGATGCTACCTTTCTTACTTCATCATTGCCACCCATCTCTACTCCCGCGTTTCTTTTTAATGGTCCCATGACTTCTGTTAAACTCAATAGGACCAATTATATTTTATGGTCATGATCTATTCAAATCTTTTTTAGAGGTAAAGGATTTAAGAAATATTTGGTGGATCCCAAACCCAAGGAGGATACTCCTATATATGATCAGTGAGAACAAGAAGATGCTCACATTATCTCTTTATTGTTGAATAGTATTGAGCCCAGTATTAGCTCTACTCTGCTTTATCTTGATACTGCCAAAGACATATGGGATCACTTGACCACTATGTATTCGGGTATAGGTAATTTTACCCGTACTTATGAGATGTGCAAGTAGTATTTTCGTCTTGAGCGGGGTACTTTGAGTCTTAAGGATTATTACTCTCATGTTCGGAGAGTTTGTGAGGAATTAAAGTTCTACCATCCGTTCACTACTAATGCAGCGATTTGGCAGAAGCAACATGAAAATTTGAATATTGTTCGGTTTCTGGTAGGTTTGAAACCTAAATATGAGTCTATTCACTCTCAGATTTTGGGTAGCTCTAGTCTTCCCTCTCTACTTGAAGTTTTTCTCCCGCTTACAACGTGTTACTTTGTCTATTAGTCCTTTAGGCATTGATCATGGTATTTCAACTGATCGTTCAGCTCTGGTGGTTCCTAGTAGCCACAGTGATAGTCACTGAGGTGGACGTGGTAATCGCAGTGGTTGTGGAGGCCGTAGTGGATCTCGTTCCTATATTCACTGTGGTCGTGGAGGGCACACTATTGATTTTTGTTGGAATTTACATTGAAAGCCTTCCAATGCTGCAAATCTGGTCTACTATCAAGATGACACCTCGGGTGTTGCTTTTATACCTCGGTCAGCACCACTTGATTCTGGATCAATTACTATTACACGAGAGGAGTATGTTTAGTTCCTATCCCAGCAACAGGTTGTTTCGTCTTCCTCCATTGCTACTTTTGCCTAGTTATGCACTGCTTCCACTTGCTTGTTGTCCTCTATTCACAGTCCTTGGATCATAGACTTTAGTGCTTCTGACCACATGACTGGTGTGTTTGGTGTCTTTTCTACTTATTAGTCTATTACTTTTACACACGGTATTACTCTTATCAATGGTACTTGTTCTAAAATTTCAAGTTTGAGGACTACTCACTTGAGTGTTGATATGCCCCTATCCTCCGTGTTATTTGTTCATTAGTTTTCTTTTATTTTACTTTCCATTAGCAAGATTACCCGTTCTCTTAATTGTTCCATAACATCCCTTTTATTGTGTATTTCAAGATCTTAAGACGAAGAAGAAGATTGGCACGGAGAATGAGGTTGATGGCCTATATTACTGACCTTGATTCACCTACTCGAGCTCTACAAACCTCGTCTCATTTTCAATGGCACTGTCGTCGTAGACATCCCTCTCTCTAAAATTTGAAACGCCATGTTCCCAGTCTTAATTATGTGTCGTCTGTGTCTTGTGAAAATTGTCAACTTAGTAAGCATCACCGTGTGTCCTTTTAGTTGAGAGTCAATAATAGTGTGTCTAATCTTTTTGAGTTAGTACATTTTGATATATGAGGTCTAATAAAGAATATTTCATCCAATAAATATTCTTATTTTGTG